AAACGGAAGGAATCTGAGGCACCTGGTGAAAAAGCCCCTATTTGTCTGAGCGACTGTGGCTAGAAATAAGAGTCGGGTGAGAGGTCACACAAGGAAAGAGGGAGCCGCAGAACCCATTTCCACTGCTGCAGACATATACACTGTCATGAACACAGTGTGGCTAGAAATAAAATATTCACAATGCTTGGGCGAGGATCTCGGGTAGAGATGAGGAACCCGCGCCTGAAGGTGCAGGAGACGATCCTGTTCCCCAGGACCACTTGTAACGACGGCTTGGATGCTGAGCTGAGGAGATTCCGAAGCCAGGAGCTGAAGGTATGGCCTGGCTTCTTCTTGCTGCTTAGAGTAAAATGCAGGAGAGCGAGACATACTGAAAGTATTAAGCAAAAGGGATCCAGAAATGAGAGATTGGAAGATTCTCAGCCTTTCATGTTGTAAAGAATGAGAGAGTATTTGGGAAAGAGCACCACGGGCGAGGTTGAGCAGTCACTCCAGAGATCGGGCCATGCCTCGTGGATCTGGCCCCTCATTTCAGCCCAAGTATCCCTCCAGTGGTCTGAAGGGACAGAGGCTGAGATGTAAAGGCCTTCGGACTTCTGCTTTCTGTAAGTGGGAATGGACGTGTGGAACTATCCAGCCCCAGACATAAAGTACCCAAGAGTAAAGGGGAGGAGGAGCCCGAGGCTGGGCGTGCCTGCTTCATACCAGGGCACGGGGCAACGTCCATGGCTCTCACGGCACTGTGCTTTCTGTGGCTTATGTCACTCAGGCTGTAGTGTTTTGCTATGGTGGCCCGAGCTCACAGGGACTGTAGCTGGATACTGTCCTTGCACAGAGGTAGGACCAATCAGGTCTGACTGGAGTCCTTACAACAGCAGGACACATGGATGGCAACACATGCACAGAGGAAAGAGGACGTGAAGAGACACAGGGAGGGGACAGTCCCACCACCGCAGCAAGGCCTCGAGCAGATCCTCCCCCAGAGAAACCGGCCCTGCTGACACCTGGATTCAGACCACCAGCATGCAGAACCGCAAGGAACTACAGGGTCGCCTACCCTGCGGCGCTCTGCCTAGCAAGCTACTGAGACCTCGGGTTGCCTGACTTCCTGCTGGGAAACAGAACTTTGGAGACCATGGACATGAGAAAAGCCAGGCACATGTTACCGTGCTAAAATTTACTATGAATGAAATTCGCTATGCTACTAGGACCCAAAATGATGACTGCACAAGCCATTCTTCCCTGGTACCTATAGTTGAGGTGTGGGTATTTACTGTTTATGTAAAATACTTTAATTTCTTTTCACATCCCCCTGCATTAAATTTAGGATAAAACTAACACTTCCATGAAACATGGTATTTTAGAAGGATATTCAATATGTTCCCTTTTAAAATAATGCCACATGTCCACATGGATTTAGATACTAGCTGATACAATGTATCATTTTATGACAAGCAATGTAAAGGGAAACGAATAAATTAGAAAACTACCAAGTAATATTAGCAAGATGTTTTAGAGTATATGACATTAAAAACATTGGCCTTATTTTCAGTAATAAGGTAGTAGAGAGTCAAGTATTTGGGTTTCAGTTACAAACGAAAATACTTTAAAGAGTACAGTCAGAAATTGAAGTCAATGCTTTTAGTTCAGTCTCCATGGCAACACGGGAAGGAGCACAGACTGGTGGATGAAGTGAAAGCCACCAACTCTCCATTTCAGACCCTAGCATTAACTCACAACAGAAAGTCACGTTTCTAGCTTGGCATTTCATCTCTACCTTCAACACAGCACTCTGGCTTCCCTCCACGAAAGGGCTGACTCAATTCATACTCACTTAACTTGCATTATGTTCTGAAACAACGGAAGCTCACGCACGCTGAACTGGTGGCAGGGGGTGAGTGGCAGTGAGCAGAAAATGGAGGGGCCACTGAAGCTGCCCACCTCTCAGCCCACGTGGCCCAGCAGGGCTTCATCTCAAGGGTCTATTGTATTTTCCTTAACTACTTACTATGAGGAAAAGATTATTTCCCCAAACTGGCTTTTTTTTTTTTTTTTTTTTTTTGCGGTACTGGGGATTGAACTCAGGACCTTGCTTCTTCTACTGCAGGCTTTGGAACTTGATGGGCCTTCTAACTTACTGTCTTCTAATGTCTGCAATGAGGACAGGTCTTCAAAAGGAAGTCGTACAGTCACAGGGCGTGAAGACTTCAACTGCAGCTTAACAGACTAGCCAAGACCTGCCTACGACTTTAACGTGAAGAGCATTTGCTGAAAACAGCGCAACAAAAAGAAGCTAAGTCTCCAAACTCTCAAAATAGTTGACATCCATAAGGTCACAGCACTACTCCACATTTACCCGGTGCTTGTCACGCCGCCCTGGGCTGCTCCCAGGGGAGGCCTCACTGAAGCCAGCAACTGTGAAGGCAGTCTTACCTGGGGCCGGTGCAGGAAGCTAAGGAATCTTCAGTAATCGCCTCAGGGCCACCTGTCAGCGTGAGTCTAAACCAAAGCCTGGGCCCCTGGTCGCTCCCATTCTGTTCCTCTCAGATGAGTCCATGTCATTTGTTAGTTCCCTGTCATGGTACTCTTGGAAACCAACCCCGTCCTTCTTACTCTACTGCAAGTGCAAGTCCATCACCGCTGGCTGTCCGATGGTTCCTGCTTCATAACTGCCTTCCCCAAGGTGCTTTCAGAAACTCTGATTTTCCCTTTATTTTTGGTCTGGCCATAAATTGAAAGACTTTGTCTGGCAGTAGGCTGCAAGTTCCTCTTCATGACAGAAGGGTCCTGCCCACTCCCCATGGGGAGGCCACGTGCACAGAATGAGCCCAGGAAGACGGCAACAGCCGACAGGCCCTACTGGGGTTCCCCTCAGCCTACTGGCAATCACACATGTGTAGTGAAGTCTTTGTGAAATCCCCAAAGGACAGAGTTTAGAAAGCTTGGATGCACCTGCACTGTACAGGTTCCTGGGGACAGAGCCCCAGAACGGGCCTGGGTGCCCCACACCCCTTTCATATTTCGTCCTGAGCTTCAACTTGGATCCTCTGTAATGTCCTTTGTAATCAACTGATTAGCTGAGCCAGTAAGGAGGTTGTGAGAACCCCAATTTCCACTGCTTGGGGAGAAGCACGGATAATACACTCTGGGGCTTGCAAGTGGCATCCAAAGTGTGTGTAGGGGGCAGCCTGGGGGCCTGTGACAACTATCCTGATATGTCAGCTTCACTGGATTAAGACATTCCGAGCAAGTTAATAAGGCAAGCTCCTGGGTATGCGGGGATGGCTGTGGATGTGTGGCTTTGTATCCCCTCCTCTCTGAGGCTGTTTCTCTTCCCTCCAGGAACTGAGCAGTTTTGCCTTCTACACACTTCTGCCAAGAGAGTGCTGCCTTGGAGCCTGCCTGCCATGGACTGAATCCCTGAGCCTGCGATCTACATGACGTCTTTCTTCCTTTGAGTTGTAGGTGCCGAGTACTGTGTTTCAGTGATGGAAAGCTGGCTAATAGAGGGCTAAGCCTCCGTCCTGCATCTGCTACTACCACTAGGTAGCAAGTGTCAGAACAGAACCAGGTCAGAAGACACCAGCACCGCTGCAGACTGACTCCTTGTTGGTGTGTGTGGGAAACCCTTGCTCATATGCACAGGTGATCTGCATGGTGAACGTACAGAAAGCAAACAGTCTGAGATGGAGTGTGGGGTTTGTTTGTTTTTCCCAGCAAATGAGAAAGGTTCAGAGCGGGGCTCTGTAAGCAGGAAACATTAAAAAGCATAGAAATTTGAAATAGGAACTGAAAGCATACCAAATAGGATTATCCAGAGCAGAAAAAGATAAACACAGTTGCTGGAAGAGGCAGGTGGAGAGGCAGAAAAGCAACTGCAGCGCTCACTACCTGGTATATGCCAGGAGCCTGTCTTGCTCACTGGCTCGCCATCACCATGGCCTGCAGGGTGGGAAGCTCTGTCCCCATTTACGGCTCAGCTGGGCTCAGCAGTCTGCTTGAGCTCCCACAGCAGAAGAGCTGGGCTGGCTGGCTGAAGTGCGCATGCTCTAAGCACTGTACCACACTGCCATGACACATGGACTGGGGAATGAAATGAAGGAAGGGGGAGTGGTTTAGCGACGCCCTGGGTTTGATTTCCAGTGCAAAAAAGAGAAAGCAAAGGAGGAGGGAGGAGAGGAAAAGGAGTGAAGAGAAGGACGATAAGGAGGAGAAAACTGAAGAGGGAAAAAAATGAAGGAAAGAAAATCTTGGCAAAGCTTCTATAGAAACGGTCACGATAGAAACACTTCTTGGAATTGAAAAAGAATAACGAGCTTCAGTTACCTGAACATTTACTCACTCCAAATATCACATTTGAAGCGTAAGTAAAGTTTTATCTTTCTTCTTTCTTAGCTTTAAAATACTGAAGTTTAACAAAAATCTTACACTTAGGAAATCCATAAGCTAAACTGTATATGTAAGATGTTTTCATTTCCTGTTTTGTCATCTTTTGCTAAACTGCAGTACCAGTGCTAAGCATTTTAATATTGAATGTTATTAGCAAATTCAAAACCTTATGCCAAGAAAGTAAAGTGTGGCCCGGGAGAGCCATTTGGAAGGGCTAGAAATTTAAAATACAAACACCGCACATGCGCATAGTTTAGTCACACACCTCTAGTTGGCAAAGCCTGTTAAAGGGAAGGGCTCATCCCTCTATACTGTGCAATTTTTTCTGGTATCCCTTATTACCACATTATCTAAGGACTATTCTGAACAAGGGGATGGCAGGAGAACATTCCCTCAAAGGACATGCTACTCTAAATGTGTTTAATACTATTATTCCGTATGTGACAAAAAAAATTAACTCATAAAAAACCCTCATGGTTCTTGTGACACTGCGGTACTTATCTGTGCCCCTTCAGAGTGGCTGACTAAATGCTTTCAGGCATGGCCTCCCTTTTCCCCACACTGCACCCGTGCCCAGCTGTAAGCCCTGGTGCCCACTTAGGCATGATTACCCCTGGTGCAGCCCTGCCATGGGCGTCTCTCTCAAGGGGAAGAGCTTGGGATAGACGATGGTAAACATGGGCTCACTACACCGGTGACAATGCCCCAGGGGACACTGCAGCAGCTCCAGGAGACTTCTGGGTAATGAGACAGGAGACAGGAAGTTGAAATCTGAAACACAAGAGGGAAATCATACACATGAGTGAAAGATCAGGTTTTTCTAAAACCAAACTGCTTAAAATACTTCTCTTTGTTACCAAGTAAGTTCAGTTAAACCACTTTGTGCTGAAAATTCTGTTATCTGCTCGGTACTGAATAAAAATCTAACATTATTAGGAAATAAAAGATGTTTTTTACATTTTTGATAGTAAAAGAAAATGAAAACCCATTCTTTTAAGAGTGACCAGAGGCTGTTCTGAGGTAGAGTTAAGGAAAGAATGAGATCAAAGAATCTTCAAGAACAAGGATAAAAAGGCATCAATTTTCCCTGAGAGGGTTTTGCAGGCTTTTGTGAGAGGCAGAGAACTAAAGAAGCCTGGGCCCAGCGACTGTCGCGGACTTTCATGAAGCCTCTCCGACTCTTCCGGGCAGCTACTCAGGCAGGTCCCAAGCAAGGCTAAACTTTTATGTTTACTGAAAAGAATGCAGCACAGGTCACCACGAGGAAACTAAGCTTTTCTGGGCTCACTCCCATGAGCTGTTACTAATCAAAACAGGGAGCGCTCCCGCCTAGCCTAATCTGAACCCCCGCAAAAGGGATGGTGAAGGAAAAGCACCTGAGCCCGCGACCCCTGCAACCTGGACACAAATTTACCATGGTTTCGATAAGGGTAAGCACTCAACGGAGAATGAAGTAAAATTCGAAAATTACCAGCCCATGTCTGCAAAGGAAATACTCAACATCCTCTTAACCTTTTGTGACCATCCAGACACCGTCCAGATCACCGTCAGAAAAATGCAACGCACCCACAGGTCCATCAACAGAATTCTGGTTAGTGTTTTTTTTTTTTTTTTTTTTAAGACGGCATACGAGATGTTAAGTATTTCTTTTTCTTTCTTTCTGTGTTTTTTTTTTTTTTTTTTTTTAAATAATTTTTAATAGACATTTCTGGAAGGTAGTAGGGGTTAGATTTTTCAATGGCTTTATTTTTTATGCAAAAAGAAAACATTCAGCAGCTTTAAAAATGTTTGAAATGTACTTTTCTTATTAATATTGCCCCACTTTTAATACTGTGGCAGGGACCTAATCCAGGGCCTCCTATGTGCTAAGCACATGCTCTACCACACGCTACTGGCGCTCTCTGAAGGCACTGCAGACCTATGCCCCGCAGTCCCAGAACTCCAGGCTCTGTCAAGCCTCTTCCAAACCAAGGGTTGCCGTCACACTGTGACAGCACTGCTAAAAGCTCCTCACACGGATTTCTTCTCCTTGCATTTCTTGGATGTAAGGAGACAGCAAGGCAAAAGCCCGCTCTGCTGAAGGAGGCATTCAGCTCCACTTTGAGGATAAGGTATTTCCCTACTGCCGGCTTTGGTTGCACACGCAGTCCCCAGCCCAGCTGCCCTCCTTTCAACATAGTGTTAACGCTGAACTGCCGCTCTTGGCAACTGAAGGCCACAGTGTAGTGAGCGCCTCACTCTGTGTTTGCAGCGGGTGCGAAAGAGATCAGTGTTGAGAAAACGTTACAATTTTTTTCTTATAATTAAAGTTACAGGTGGTCAAGGACACATGTGCCCATGAGAGGTGAATGGGGAGACTCTGTGGCAGGAGGACTTGCACCCAGGAGAGGGTCCCTGCCTCAAAACAAAAGCAAAACCAAAAAACCCCAAATAACCAAGACAATGTGGAAATATTTTACTACCACTGAACAGTATACTTACAGATGGCCACAGTGGTATATTTTGAGTCATGTATATTTCACCACGATAAAAAACGTTTTTGAAAGAGGAAAAGGCAAAGCAGGCAGCACAAGACGCAACTGTCTGCTCCCGGAATGAGGGGGCGGGAGAAGTACCTGGGTCCGAGTGGCGGCAGGCATGGTAGAGATGCCGCATGGCCAGTTCCTGCAGAGGCAGCACGGGGTCGCGCTCGGTCCCTATGGCCTTCACCTCAGCTGGAAGGAAGACGGTCAGCTGGCCCGACGAGAAGGTGAGCAGCTTCATCTCCGACACCTGGATGGGGTCCCCACAGCTGCAGGAAGACGCCACAGAGCATGAGCAGCCAGCACATGCGTACTCATCATCACGCATGTTGGAAAATTTATGACACTGCTGAATTGCTGAATTCTTCTCCAAGTGCACAGAGATGCTGGCCTGAGCTCCTTAGTAACACATGGGTCAGAATCCTGAACTCGGCCGGGGCTGGTGGCACAGGTGGGTAATGCCAGCATCCAGGAGGCCAAGCCAGGGGGAGTGTGAGTTTGGGCCCTGTCTGGGGTGCATGGTCCAAGGTTGGCCTGTAGCATGGAGAAGGACTCCAACTCCAAAACCAACGCAAGCAACCCAAACTCACCAGTGGGAACACGGCTAACTCACTGTGCACCCAGGCTTTCCAGCAAGGACAGCTCTGAACTCCCTGTCAAAGAATCCAGACAATTTGCTTCCCATGCTCTATTTTTTCTCCTTCTGCTACTCTCTGCTAGTTCCTATCTACTGAACCCCCCCCAAATGTAAAGTTCTTCATTTGTTCCTTTCTTTCCTCCACCAGAAAATCCACCTGATTATCTATTTTATGCCAGCCAAGATACTGAGATTAAAAAGCCAGGATGATCCCCTTCCCTTTGAGGATAATTACAGTGTTCTCACATAGGGTGAGGGAAGATGGAGTCGGGAAGTCCACAGAGGAGCAGTCCCAACTCAGGGCCACCACTGCCACCAGAAGAATGGAAGGGACCTGTACTGCAAGCCAAGGCACAGGGCGTGTACAGCAGCTGCTGCCACGCCCCAAAGAACAGGGCTGTTTCTGGGGGTAGGGTGGGCTGGAAAGGGACACAGGATGTGAGAGGAGGCTGAGGTGAAGTTGATAGCCCTAACTTGAGGGGAAGACTCTCAGTTCTTAGAACACCATCTGCTCACAAGATGGAGGGTGGGGAAGAAATTGGTAGCAAGTAGGTAAAGAAGTCCATGAACACACAAGCAAGCAGGAGCAGGGAAGCTGCTAGGGTCCTGAACGTGACAGCATGGGGAAAGCAGGAGGGGTGTGGAGCAGCCTCTGTAGTAGGGGCCAATGGCTTTCTCTGCAGGGTCACAGGAAAATAATTCATGATCCCCAACTACTGGTATTTGGGGGATTGTTCTGTTGAAAATATAAATGTCATTAAATTTCAGAGGTAGAAATCACAGGTCAGGTGGCTTCACAAATTTCACTTAATGACATGTCTTTTAAATAAAGCAACTGTATTGATTTGACAATAGGAACACTGTGCTTTTTAGCCAAGAGTATGTTTTTCTTGAGGCTATTACCAAATAATCTAATAACTTTGATTCTAATAACTGTGAAGCTGAATGACATGAATAATATATGATAATTGTTGTTAGTTCAATAATAAAGTGAAGAGATGGGCCCATGAGATAGCTCAGCAGTCTAAAGCTCCTGCTTAGGCAATCTTAGGCAACTGTAGGAACTGCAGTTCGATTCCTGGCACCGCATGTGGTTATCTTTCCTTCCTACTTTCTTTTTAATCAAATGGGATCATACAATACCGTAATGTGCTTTTGTTCATGTAATCGTTCAGACCAATTAGATTTAGAGAAACCTCTGTAATAGCCAAGTGACATTTCATAGTATGAATGAATAGAATTTATTAATCTATTTACTATGTCATCCCATTTTTCACAGTTTCCTATCCTACTTTGAAAACAATGTCACAATAAATGTTACACCAACTCTTGTGCATGGTGTGTATCACTGTAACATAAAACTCATACCATGAGAATGGCTGGCTGTGAAGACTGAAAAATTTCCATGTCTGAGATCCAGAAGGGTTATAGGATATTTTCTGTTACGGTTTGTGCCTAGTTGTTCCCCCAAAGCCTCATGCAGTTATGGAGCAGGGACTTCTAGAGTTGATATTAACTCATGATCCACCGGGATTATGGGTTTTAGTACTGCTGAGATTATGGGTGCATTATTCCCAGCCTGGGGGCAGATAGCCTGAATGCAACTTAAGAGAGACAGACTTCCTCTCTGTTGCCATTCTGTTGCTGCTACTCCTCCATTTTGCTCTCTGCTCTTTACTGCCACCATGAATGGATGCTCTCTGCCCTGGAGCCAGCTGAGTACGGACTGAAACCTCCAGTTACTGTGAGCTGAATAAACCTTTCCTTCCCTCATTTTGGGTGTTGGGTGATTGTCCCAGCAATGAGAGAAAGAGTAACTAAGACACTTTCCCACATCATCAGAACTGGGATCAGCAATCATCTCAGGCTTCTGAAGTCTTAAAACGACCGTCTTGGTCGATGAGTTTTATCACCTTCTGGCAGGTATACCGGCCATTTACATTTCCTTGCTGAGAACTGACCACCCACATCCTTTGCCTAATTTTCTACTGAACTGAAAAAATCAATTGTTAAGAATTTCTAGAATTCGGGCCAGGGAGATGGCTCAGTAATAAGCCTGGCAAGTGCAAGGGTCTGAGTTTAATCCCTGGTTCTGCCAAAAAAAAAAAAAAAAAAAAAAAAAAAAAAAAAAAATTCTAGAATGCATTCTGGGAAAGCAGCAGCAGATCCAAGATGGTGGCCAACAGGAGGCTCATGGAGGAGCTTGAAGGAATCCACAAACACGGAATGACAAACTTCCGTAACATCCAGGCTGACGAAGCTAATTTATTGACTTGGCAAGAGCTTATTGTTCCTGGCAACCCTCCATATGATAAGGGGGCCTTCAGAATTGAAATCAACTTTCCAGCAGAGTATCCACTCAAACCACCGAAGACCACATTTAAAACGAAGATCTGTCACCCAAACATTGAGGAAAAAGGGCAAGCTTGCCTGCCGGTCATTAGTGCTGAGAACTGGAAGCCAGCGACCAAGACCGACCAAGCAGTCCAGTCCCTCATAGCACTGGTGAATGACCCCTGTCTGAGCACCCGCTCCAGGCTGACCTAGCTAAAGAATACTCTAAGGGCCATAAAAAATTCTGTACGAATGCTGAAGAGTTTACAAAGAAACATGGGGAAAAGGAACCTGTGGACTAAAATCTGCCACAAATGATTCCAGCGAGTGTGAGCAGAGACCCCGCACAGGGCACTCAGACGTCCTGCACAGCAGGACTCTGTAGGAAATTGACACCTGCTACCACTTGGTCTTCACTTGGGGCAGGTACTAGCTTTCTATGGTTTTCTTAATCAAAAGTGATCTAGTAACCTATAAAGAAAGGATTAAAAATTTCAAATATTTTAGTTCTGCCTTTATTTTATTTTTTGGTGGAACTGAGGATTGAACTCAGGCCCTTGCATTTGCCAGGGAAGCACTTATTCTTTTTTTCTCCCCCCAGAACTGGGGACTGAACTCAGGACCCTGCACTTGCCAGGCAAACACTTATTCTACTGAGTCATTTCTCCAGCCCCGAGTTCTGCTTTCTTCCTTTTAAAAATCACTTCTTCAATCCATTAAAAAAAAAAAAAAAAAAAAAAGCTGGCTAAATAGCTCAGTGGATTAAAGTGCCTGCAAGCAGAAGCAGGGGCTAGAGGTTCGATCCCTCAGGCCTGGTGTGCCAGCCCCACCTGCGGGGTGTGCTGAGACTGCAATTGAGACTGGGTGTGGTGGTGCACGTGCCTGTAATCCCTGCTCTTGGGAGGCTGTAAACAGGCGGATCACTACAACTCTGATCTAGTAATGAGACCCTGAACACCCTGCAGACCCTTCCCTAAAATGCAAAAAAAAAA